GGGGAGGGGGGGGAGGGGGGGGGGTTAGGGCAGGAAGGCATTGACGCTTTGTTGTTATGTTATGTTCGCAGTTTCTGTCTCTGTCTCTGTTGTAGAAGAGACTTCGCGCCTGCGAGACCTCCTTCGGCAAGCGGGCGCCTGGAGCGGCGCCTGCTCGCTCTCCAGGCCATCACGGGCATCCGGACCCCCAGGCCCAGGCCGATGGCACCCCGCCATCTAAAGTAACGGGTGAACTTAAGCAGACATAAGCAGACTGAGAGATATCTGAGTGCGGGAATGCCGGGATCTGGTTCTGCCCGGTGTGTTTTGGAGATGTTGCCTTCTTCTGTCATGCTGGCGGGGTTTAAGCCTTACCTGGACGGGTTGTCGGCACAGTCACGGGCAAAGTCACCATGAGTCGGTCAAGGCATGGAGGACGCAGACAGATCTCCAGCTTCTCCGAGCGCGCAACACAAGCAGCGGAGCCACGAGATGCGGTCAGAATGTCCACTCCCTGCCAAGGTGCGTTCCAACTGAGCGACGCAAGTTTGCGCGATCCTTCGATTGTACGTTGCTCAGGACAGGACAGGAATCTCGGGCTTGAGCAGCCAATGCTTCTCAGTGCTTGTCGGATCAGGCCATGATGGCCATGACGTGCTCGAGATTTCAGCCATTGAAAACTATCTTGAAACAGCACATGCCCTCAATGAGCTTTTACTCTGCAGCTGCAGAAGCTGAGTCTCGGGGAGAGCGCCCCTCTTCACCCATGAGCCGGGAAACAAAGAGCTGCATCCAAAACTCCTGGGGCTGAAAACTGTTGGACTTCTAGTCTGGTCGGCCTTTGGGACCGAGATGCCCGAAAATTGTGGGGAAAATCATGTCAATTCTACAGCGAAGCAGTGGAAAGGCCGTGGCCGCGCCGGCCGCCTAGTTGCTCTTACTGCATCTCACTGCCCTAGCTGCGGCGCTTGCGCAGCACAAAGAGGGATGGGGTGTCCATGACACGGAGGCCCGCATCCACAAACCTCTGCTTCCAGGTCCCAGCACCTGCAGACTTCAGATGGCTTCGGTTCTCTATACTTCCCTCCATCGCAAACAGCTGCGCTCGGCTTTGCTCGCATTCGTCACCGAGACATCCCACCTTTAGTCGGCTTGCGGAAGATTTCGATGCCCAGGATTGAGAACACAGTCTCCTTGAAAGTTACCCTGCCAAAGCTGTGAGGAGAGGCAAATATATGAATACACAGAAGCGATGCTCTCTTGCATCGGGGCCTGATCTCCGTGTCATTGAGGACTTCCCGTTCTGCCTGGTCGCATATCATCGCGCAGTACCGCTACTCAAGATTTCCAGAGGCACACAGTAAGCACTGTTCTTGCATGCTGGAGGGGGGATGGACCGGTAGCAAACATTGAGAAGGTTCTGCCATGAAGGCTTGGATTGTGTTTCAGACGGAGCGGCTTCGTGTACGTAGTCACACGAGGGGGAAAGATGTACGAAGTGTGTGCCAGTCGAGGTCTCTCTTGCGGGTATAGCTTTGCAACAGAGGGTTCATCCCCGGCGCATGCAGGGGAGCCAATTCCAAGATCATGCTGACCCCGGAGCTGCCCCGTGCCTGCAAGGCAACCTTCACTGGTCCAATCTCCACTGCGTTCACGAACTGGACATCGTCAACGAAGGTTTGCCTACGAAGGTCTCAGGGCAAGCTCCGTGGCGAAGCGCATCAAGCATCGTCTGCTGAGGTACGTAACGTCGCCCAGGAAGGGGCCGACTTTGCCGTTAGAGCTTCCCTCCGCCGTGCCTTGGAGCACTGAGAGACAGCCTTCGCGTTTTCTTCAAGATCACTAGTGGCTGCTACTGGGAGTTCCAGGTCTCATGACTTGCGGCCCGGAGACAGTACTGCAGATCCTCGGGACATAGAAAGCTCAGGGAAAAGCGTCCCAAGCGGAAGCATGCTGCAGCTCTCCGGTTATCCGAATTGCCGCCAAGCAACCCAGACACCCTCGAGGGAAGCCTGAGCCGGATTGGATGGGCAAAGTGCCTCCAGATCCACAGCTGCAGCCTCCACCTGCTCCCGGGGCGTACTTTGAACCAAGACGGACCAAGCTACAGACTCCGACAAAAGACTCCAACGTGTCCCTACCCTTGCACAAAACAGGGCCTTGTCCTTCACAGCATCACTTGCACCGACGCCATTCTTCGGTGCCTGCTCGCTGCTCGGGCACAATAGCTGTGCAAGTCGAAGCTGCATCGAAAGGATCCTCTCAGACACAGAAGGGGAGGCCTCTGCACAGGCAGCCAGCAACGCCTTTTCAGCATCGAGCAAAGCACAAGCTCTAAACTCCAAACACTCTATTTTTGGACTAAGCTGTCAGGTGCAAACCGACTGAGAGGACCTTCTTCTTCTTCAGGGTCTCCTGCCGATCTGGTTGTCCAAGCGCTGCCAGCCAGTCTAGCGGAGCGAAGGAACCTGAAAAGGGCAGGATTGATGCCTGACCATCCCCCTGCGCCAAACTCTCTCTGCCAAGGCTCTCATGGCGGCATTGCGCTCGGCCAGCAGGTTTCCCAAGAGCTCTTGCTTGTCCAGGGTCGCGATACCTCCTTCCAGGGCTTTGCGTGGTGACGTGAACGACCCAAAGCGGGGGGCCCCCGACATGGGGCCCTCCACCTGGCCTAGACCGCCATCGTTGCAGCCGCCCAGGTAGACGGAGGAACCCAAGTAGACGGAGGGCATGGAGGTGCGGCCGGTTCGCCGCCCAAGCTCAGCTCGAACGGCATACCCGTCCTTATTACGGCTCCAGGCGCGCGTTTCGAAGATCACTGACAATGATGACCGACGACTGTGACGACGACGGGAGGAAGACGAAGAGGAGGCTGCAGAGCAACAGCGAAGACTACTCTTGACGCACTCAATGGTAGTGGCGCACTCAATAGTAATAGTAGTAGTAGTAGTAGTAGTCGTCGTCGTCGTCGTCGCAGTAGCAGTAGCAGTAGCAGTAGCAGTAGCAGTAGCAGTAGCAGTAGCAGTAGCAGTAGCAGTAGCAGTAGCAGTAGCCTTAGCAGTAGCAGTAGCAGTAGGAGTAGGAGTAGGAGTAGG